ATGACAGAAGCGCCTTTAAAATGGCTGTTGTATGGGAAGGAATAAGAGTGTGGGCAGAGAGCAGTGTCTGGCTTCTGAGGAGAGGATAAGGTGGTGTCTAAGAGATACAAGGATGCAGGAAGGATCTGAATTCTTCCTGCTCATCTAGCAAATCGAGGAGTGGTTGTGCAAGCCCTAATGCAACACGTCCTCATGAAACAGGTCCTCGTTCTTTTCGGTAAATAGGATTTTTGTTGTCAGCACCACGCGCTTCCCAGGAGGGCACGTGGCTTTCTTCTGGGCTGGGGCTGCTGGATTTTTCAGAGCACTACCTTGCCTCCTCTGTTGTGATGACTAAAGAAACTCTCTTAGCTCCAGATAGCTTAAAAAGAGGTTTCTTTGTGCGCTGGAAGTTTACAATGTGCTTACTGATAAGGTGTTAGTGTGTGTTCCAGGTAGACGTGCTTGAGAACTGAAGACAATTGAGGAGTGTGATGGCAAAATCCACCGCACCGCTGAGTCCTTACAGCTAGCTGAAAATTGATAAATAGCTGGATATGCTCTACATTTTCCCTATTACATTTATTAATATTAATATATGCTAAAGGAGCACCAGAAACACTACCTACAGGTACAGTTGAACATTTGTGCAGTTTTCATAAATAGTGGAAGCAGTGACATTAAGCATATGCAGGAATCCCCATAGTTATAAATATTTACAAATATTTAGTTTGGCAAAAGCACCTTGCTCAGATGTTCCTAGCTGCACTCACTAGCGCAGTGTGCCTGCTTGTCACACGGCAGGCTCCTCGAACCGATAGCTGAATTAGCCTGAGCGCACGGGCTTTCCCTTGGCATATATCACTTCGTATTTCACAAATATTTAAATTTCCTTGCAGTTCAGCTAAACACACCACTTCAACTGCGCACAATTAACACACAGGCGTTGCGGCGGCGGCGTTGATTCCTGTGCCAGCGAGAGAGACCCAGTGCACTGCGTGGCATGTGAGCGAGATTACGCACAGTAATTAATAATCCTTATCAGAGCCACCTAAGCGTCTCTTGGTGTGCCGTGAATTGCAGCTCGAGAGATGCTTATAATCTCCTAACTCAGGCAATTTCCAAAAGACCCGAGCGTGGGAGCTTGTGTCCCGCTGAAACACAGCGCTGAAGCATTTTGCCTTTAGACATCTGTAGGCTGTTTTTCCACTGAGATAATCAAGTGGAGGGTAAAGGCCAGGCCGAGCCCAGAACGTGTGGGCATTATCTTGTCAGAGAAGCTGAGTGTGGGGTGCGGGAGGGGGGACCAAGCTGCTCTGCACTTAACCACACGCAGCGCTGAATGTTTGCTACCTGTTAAAATTTGCCTTGATGGCTTTAACTGAAACAGAGAAGCTCGTATTTTTCAGAAGTTTCAGTTTATTTTGTGCATAGGGCAGCTTTTTGTTATCAGATTTCCTGTTTCTCCTGTTTAGTCAGTCCTCAGTGGGTTCCCTTGCTGTTTACGGGTCTTTTTTGCGAAGCAACAGCAGACAGAGCCTTTTTTTTTTTTTTTAAATCAGAAAATTAAATTGCAAACCCTCAAAATATAAAAGGGAAACTGGGGCACAGTCTAGCATCAGGAGACTTCTTAAAGCTTAGGGTTTTAAAGCTGAGCAGGGCTTTTTTTGCCCCGAAACACACCATGATTCAGTGTGATGGGTCTGTTCCCCATGGCTTTAATATAACAACACGGATAACAGCATCAGCACGGATGAGCAACACGAGCCTCACCTTGGGTTAGCATCACAAATCCTTATCCACGGGCCTCGGAGTGGGTGTGAAAGCCGCGTGCGGGCTGTGTGGCAGCATCGCCAGTGCCGGCACACCCTATATTTCCTGTCAATAGCGTCTGGGTCGTTGGTTTTCAGCCCTAATTGTGGAGAAATATTTGTGCTGTGAGAAGACATCACAGTTCAGACGGAGCCCCACAGCGGGTTTCCTTCAGTCATTTTTCTGAGGCTTCAACAGACAACAACCAATGTCAGGTTTCGTTGGTACAATTGGGGGGGGTTGATTAATTTTTTTATTCTTGTTTTTCAACTTTGAAAAGGTTTGAAAACTGCATCAGGAAGGGTCTTTGTAGAAACCGGGGTCAAAATTGGCCGAAACAATACATGTCTAATGAAATTTCTCTAAGCCACCCAGCTACAAATTGTTTTTTTCATTTACATTTCACTACAGATGTCAATGAAAGCACAGTTCCTTCTAAAGCATCATAATGTATGTAAACCATTGCGGGAAGCATCGCATGCGAAGCCTAGGAGACTGCAGATGGAGAGAAAAGGCTCCTGATTTCATAAAAATAACAAAACCTGTTTTAACATATTGTGCATTAAATATTGTTCATTTGCATACTTTCTATGGCTAGGTTATAAAAGCCCACCATGTGGTGGACTTGTTGGAAGTCTGAAAAGATAGTCTTTCTCCAAATGGAGATGTGTTAGTGGAAGCTGCTGCTTAATTATAAAACAAAAATAACTGTTTTTCTCTGTGTTGTGTTTTTTTTTTTGTTTTTTTTTTCATTCTTGGTATGCGTGTGTGTTGGGTTATTTACTTTTGTAGCTTTTTAGTCTGATTTTTATGTTGTTTACATCAAATTCAATGGAATTAGGAAGGGAAGCATAGGTGCAAGCGCTGCAAATTCTGCTCGCTTGGGTTCGGTGTTGTACAACAGTCTGCCTGCTTGGAGCCAGCAGCAGCAGGGACTCCTCGATCAGGGTTTCCAGCAGATAGCCAGGCAGATTGTAGAGTGCCACTTAGATTATTTTTTTGCATCTTTATATAGAATTGTATAATTTTATGTACAGCCTAGCCGCGGCTGAAACTTTGATAGTACAAATGTACAATACCACAGATTAAAACGAGGAATTGCTGTCAGAAGCATAAATAGAAAATCTGAAAAAAGGAGAAGGAAAAAAAAAATCAGTGTTTGTGGGGTGGAAGTCTTGCATACACATGCACATATGTTGTCAGGGCTTGAAGAAGGATGGAGTGAGACATGCTTGTGGGGAGCAGGTTCCCTGCCTTAATAGCCTTGGCCTGGCCCCGTCCCTTTCCACCTCCAGGATTTCGTGAGCCTCGAGCAGTGGGTGGCATCGGAGCACAGACCCCCATTAAGCCCAGGCTTGGAGAAGTCTCATCGATGGCCGGAGCGTATGCAGCATGAAAGGTTTTGAAGGTTAACACTGCCAGCTTAAAATCAATCTGCTAATTTATAAGCTGCCAACATAAAGAGTGCGGGCCAGCGTAAAGCGAGCGGGACGCCTGCGCCAGGCAGCCGGCGTGCTCCTGCCTCCAGAGGGGAGTGCAGGGGAATCGGAGCAGCCTGGGGAGCTCTGGAGTAAGTGTGTGTCTTGCTGGAGAGGGTGCAAACAAAACTGGGAGGTGGGAAAGGAATAATAGTGCCCTTTCTTAGGATAAGGGAAATTGGAAGAAAAAAGCCATTTTCAGTGGAACTCGAGGTTTTTCACTGGGGAAGCCCTGTGCTGGGGGAAGCGCTTTTTGCAAGCCCCATGGAGGTCCATTTGCACCTTGCCAAGCTGCAAGGTGCTGAGGTTTGCTGCTCATCACCTGCTTCTCTGGCTGTCAAAGCATGGGGTCTTAGCACTGGCAGGGGGCCCTGTGGGTTGACCTGCTGCCTCTGATCCCCCAAGAGATCCCCTAGGCCCACGGAGGATGCTTCAGGCTGGGGAACGCCACCCCACACACATCCACCAGCTGTGCCTGGATTTGGAGACCCAAGGGGAGACCAAGGGGGTAAGAGGGTGGACAAGGACAGGGGTCGAGAGGTGTAGATGGCAGGGGGAAGCTAATTGTGGGCTCGGAGGGTCAACTGGCAAACCTGGGGGAGAAAGCATGTTAAAAGTACAGCTGACACCTTTTCTCAAGCCTCATAACTGCCTCTCATCGTTCTCTCCTCACCAAGTGCTGCGTCCTTCACTATATTTTATATGAATGCGTGTACTGAAACCTGACTTTTCCTAATCATTCTTATTTCCTCTTAGTTAAAAATAAAAAATATGTATCTGTGAGTGGCAGGTAGAAGTTACCCATCGTGTTGACTGTTTGCTGTGTGAAGGCCTTGTAGAAAAAACACAGTGGTAAACCAGGCTTCGGTGCTTCGACTCTTGGACACCCCCCGTCTGATGAAAGCTTTGCAAATCCTGCCCTTAATTAGGCAGCCTGGCTCTCAGTTCTTCCCATGGATATGTGCAAGTTGAGAGGGCTGGGGAGAATCCTTCCTTGAGAGACTATTGAAAGATTCCTCTCTAACGAAGCAGTTCTCTTATAATTAAGCTCCGAAGCGGGTGGTATCATGCCCACAAGGAAGCCAAGTCCTTTTGCATTTAGCTTGGGGTGTGAGATTCGTGCAGCAGACGGGAAGTGACCGGCGTCTGATGAAGTTAAAGCGATGCACTGAGAGACTTGTCCCGGTGTGTGGGAACACTTCTGCATACACCGAGAGAGAGAAGGACCTTTGGAGAAACCAGTGTGCAAGGTCATATAATTAAAGGCTTATTCAGAAAAGCATGCGCACAAGGGAACTGAACTGGTCTTGCAAAGCCGGCGTTGGTGATGGCATATTTTGGTTCGAGCGCGTGACCGGGGAGCTCAGTGATGTTCCCTCAGAGAGTACGTGTAGTGAAGACGTTGTACTGGGGGTTTTGGTTAAAACACTCAATAAAGAGAAAGCAAATGTCCAGCTGAAATAGCAGGCAGAAAAGCCGAGCCAAGATGGACTTGCAGTATTTTGTGGTGGGGTGGGGAAGGATCCACGTGTGCCAGGTTTCAGCAGGACAGCATGAAGTGAACCAGAGATCAGGCTACACAACATGCAGAGCCTCTGCATGACAAAAATGCCATCTTTCCTGTTTCTGTGACCTAAGCAGCGTTGTTGTTGACTGATGGTGACTTCTGTCTTACCTTCAATTAATCTGACTTTGTTAATTTTTTCCTTTTCCCTCGTCCCTTCTCCACAGCAGCAGCAGGAGATGCTGGCAATGAAGCATCAGCAGGAGCTGCTGGAGCACCAGAGGAAGTTGGAGCAGCACCGACAGGAGCAGGAGCTGGAGAAGCAGCACCGAGAGCAAAAACTTCAACAGCTGAAAAACAAAGAGAAAGGAAAAGAGAGTAAGTAGCAGAAGCTCCCTTGTTTTGATGATGACAGGTAGAGTAAATGAATGGAAGCCATAAAGCAGCATTATAAAGCTGAAGAAGCCTCCCTGATAGCCTTTCTACAGGGCCTGGCTGCACAGGAGCTTGTGTAAACGGTTAGGAGGTACTGAGGGTAAAAGAGAAATTTATTTCTATGCTTTATCTTCATTTTTGTCTCACTAAATGCCGTTTTAGCGTTTTTCAAAAGGAAGCGTATCATCTCTTTATTTGATTTAACATTTTCTGAAGTATTTTTGGCAGCATTCCTAATGGAGGCAGAATATTAAAACCATAAAATACACCAGATGCACGCTGCTTTTCTTTTTCTTTACTTTTCTTAATTTCACTCTTTTAGGATGTAGGCGAGTTCTCAGTTTTTAGCTTTAAAGTGTTTTCATTCAGAAAGTACTTCTTTCATGAGGTGCAGATTGTGGTTGGCTTTCCCATGTGCTATTATGCACTTGACGAGATTCAGTAAAACGATTATTGCCTCACAAATCCCCTTATCAAAGACACTTTGCTTGCTTGTTCCGTTTTCTTTTAGAAGTGAATGGAAGGAAAAATACCTTGCAAAGTTGTACTATCAACTCGTTAGGGTCTTCATTCCAAATGACACAAGGAAGCCTGTAATGGAAGCAGCAGAGAGGGCTAAATGGTCCCAGGAGATGAGGTACTGTGTGGGGACCAGTGACAAGATAAAGCTCCAAGAACAACTTTTCTAGCAGGAAGGGGCTGGGGTCTAGGAGACAGGAAGGTGGTTTTTTTTTCAGAAGGTTGAATTCCCCACTGCCTGCGTATGCATCTTGCAAGGACGAGCTGTTGAAGCTGTATTCAGATGAGGGAACGGGCAGACCTACCCCAATATCTTAGCAAAGCGGTTCATGGGAGCTCCAGCACGTGTGTGCATTTGTATTGGGTTTTGTTTGTTTCTTCTAAGTGTTGGGAAAGAAAGCAAAGGGTCAGAATTGAAAGAAAAAGAAGCAGTGTGACTTTCAGGAGTGAGTAAAGGGTGATGACAATGCAGGTTGGCTTCTTCAGCGTGCAGCTGGCTGCCACAAGCGATTCCTCCCGTTGTCCTCTGGCTGCTTTCTGTTGTTTTCCAAAATAAAGGCAGTGAGTTTGAACTGGGTGAGAGCTATAAGCACGTCTACTTCACTCTGCTGTTCTCATCAACTGTTGATTTGGTATCGATGTTTTCTATGGCTGATACCTGTCTATTCTCATTAAGATAATTTACAATAAACAAAAATTCCTGGGTCTCTTGTAAAATGACAAAAGCATCTGAAGCACCTTTTGGATGAAACATAGGTGTAGAGGGAAGAACAGAACTTGGAGATGCTAAGTTGAAGATCCAGTTCCCATGGCTACAGTTTTATTTTTAAAATACTTTTATTTAAGAAGTACTATAGTGTATAATCATTATAGCAGCTAAGCTCTCAAGAATACTTATTTTTCTCACATCAGAAAGTTTTGCTAAGCGTAACAGTTAAAATTGTCCAAATCTGAAATGAGGAGTGTGTAATAGATGAAGAATATAGTTTATTTTCCATCCTTCCTCCATCACTGTAAGAGAAAAATAGATTGCTTTGTACCTTCTAGAAGTCAACGCTCAAATAGGGCTAGATTACCATAATACCAGATGCTTGCTTTCTCATCTCGGGATCCTTACCCCATCCCTTGTGAACCGAAATCTGCTATCAGAAAGCTTTTGATCAAAAGCGTGTCTCTAAGAAAAGAAGGAAAACCCACATGAAACTAAAGGGGTTTTTTTGCAGGGTAAGGAGTGATAGATGGTTGTCCTGTCTTTCCACTGCTACAATTGAACCTAAAACCAGTCCTGTGCATCAGTGTTTCCAGACAGGCCTAATCTGTCTTCCCATCTCCCTCCTTCAAGGCATGGACCATTCAACCCCTTGCTGCTCAGGCAGCCTTTGACTGTGGCTTGTTTTAGGCTTTCTCCTACAGGCTGGCTGGCTACGATCAGCCCACACTATCATTAAGGGCTTTCTCTCATTAATTTCCATTTGTTCTGCTCCTCTGTTCTTGCATTGTGCAACCTCCTCCTTGCAGGAGCTTGGTCCTGCTTCAGACCTCCACTATTCTCTTCCCACTGCCCCTGCCTTGTCCCATATTCAGTTGTAGTTTGATTCTGGGACAGGATATAACCTCTTTTGTGTTTTTTTTTTTTTTTTTTCCCCTCTGGTTGTAGCCTGGCTCAATCCTTTGGCTCTCGATCTCTTGATTTAGACCCATCCTGTCTGTAGTGCTTTGCTCATCGGGGCTCTCTCCTGTTTGCAGTCCTTATCAGTTGATCTGTTCTTTGCTCCCTGCTCCTCTCAAACACATAACTGCCTGCCTTGCAGCTTGGTTCTCCACACCATGGGCAGCTGCTGCCCCAGCCAGTTCTCGTTCACCAGTTCCTTCCCTCTTGTCCTTCTTTTTCTCTGCCGTGGTCTCTCACTTCTAGGGTTCAGTGTCTTGCTTCCTGCCTGTAGAAGCAAGATACTTTCCATACATACGAGCTTTGCATGTCTGGCTTGTGCTCTTGCCCTCCTTGCCTTTACCCCTGCACAGTGTATAAATAACATCATGCATGGGCCAGATTGTGCCTTTTTGCCTTTGGCTTCCTCCTCTTTAATGTCTGCACCGGGGAATTGCAGAGTACTTCTGTCTGTATCATATCACTGCATATATAATATATATATAGAGATAGATATATTTAATCTTTCAACTCTCAAGGGTCAAGAGCTGAGTAATGGTCAGAACTCCTTGCATGATGGCTTTGTCCATGGCTCCAGCATTGCCCAGGAAAGAGGAGGCCTACGTGTTTTTATCCTGTTAAGCATATGTGGGGCTCTTCAGCTTCTAGTTAAGGAGGAAGACGTGCCAGGGAAACTTTTACAAACCTCAGGATCCAAAAATGCTTGGCTTCAGATCTTCTAAATAATGGCAGATTTATCCAAAACCAATAGAACCCAGCCATGTTTGATTATTTTTAAAATGTTAATAGATCAAAGATGACACTTTTTGGAGAGATAAGGCCTTTATGCATGAATTTGTCACCTATTCTGGTCTAGCCATGTGGCTCGCTACACGATTTTATCTCCAGCTCCTCAGTTGAACTTCCTGCTGGGGTGCATGCCAAACCTACGTTTTGTAGAACTAGTGAGAAATGTGGGGCTCCAAAAAAGCAATTTTTCAAGCTTTTCAACTCTGCTTCAGTGGTTGAGCAATATTACATCTTCAGGCACTGCTTTATAGAATTATTGCAGTTTACTTCTCTTGTGGAGATCTAAAAAAATGTTTCCCTCGTCTGTCAAATGGCACCACATTGTTGAGCAGGATCCAGGAGACAAAAGATCACCCTGTCGTATTTTGAGTTTTCTACTCCCAGAAGAGCAGACAGTTTTCCTGGCCTTTTCATTTTCTTGTAGCCCAGATATTTTCCTTTGGAATTCGTGGTTTACCCTGTGGTATAGATGAACCATCATTTTCCACATGTTCTCCTTGCCAAACTTTCTATGCATTACTCCATCAGGAACTCTGCCTGCGAATCTGTTCTGTCAACTGAATGATAATTTTAATCCATCATCACAGTAAAACAGACTGGTCTCTATTGTGGAGGAAATAATGATTAGAAATTACACAGTTGACATTTTAACTCTACACTACAAAATTACTGACTTTTTTCTTTAAAAGTTAGATTTTCTATTTGAAGAAATAGATTGCACACTTGTAAATGAATTGGAATATTATGTAGGTCTTATTGTACACAGATACTTTTGAACAAAGAGGTCCTTATTTACAAGATTTTTCAAGACAAAATCTACATATGAGACATTCGTTTCATTCCCCTTCTGCTTGCAGATGTGACATTTAAAAACTTGAGTGTACGCAAGACCTTTTCTTAAATACCTTTGATTAAAAGAAAGCTGGAATACCTAGTACAAGTGCTTTATTCGAAGTGTACTTCTATGCGAGTGTAAAAATCCTCTTCAGAAATCTTTTATAGAAAAATGATAAATCTTTGATTAAATCTCCATTTTCAAACATAAGTTGTGATTATATGCAAAGCTAGAGGGGGGGTGGAAAGAGAGCTGCTTACTGGAGGCACTTTGTTCTTCTTGAAAAAAAAGTTCTTCTATTGGACTGAGAATCAAAGATCTAATCCTGAATCCTTTTAGAAATTTTAATTTTTGAAGTATGCAAATTTTTGTTTCAGCTTTTGTCCAAAGTCAATTCATTAAATAATCTTTTTGTTTCTGTTTTTGACATTTCAGGTGCAGTGGCAAGCACAGAAGTCAAGATGAAACTACAAGAATTTGTGTTAAATAAGAAGAAGGCTTTGGCACACCGGAATCTCAACCACTGCATATCCAGTGACCCTCGCTTCTGGTATGGGTAAGTGGTACTGGGCTTATCTTTACGATTCAGCCGGTGCCACCTTTTTCACAATTGCTGGAATTGTGGGGAATAGACCTGATGTGTTTACTCGTCAGCTGTAACAATGATAGAACTAGGGTTTAACTTTGCTGATGAAATTACCAAAATTAATTTTTTGTAGGGTTTCAATGTGAATAGTTTTAACACTTTCTGTGATGTTAAGAGTATTTTTGTGAGTAGGGGTCTTTGCTCTCATTTTTATTCCATGATTTTTCAAACACATGTTCTACCGTGAAGATCAACCTTTATAAGTTGTGTAGATTTTTACTTGGGATTTGGTTCATCCAGGTGTTATGAAATTTTAAGAAAATGGGGAAATTAGGTTTTATGTTTAGTGAATTGCAACTCAAGGTAGTTGAACTAGCAGTGTATGTGTAAGGGTTTTAATGCTTACTTCTCATCTTAACCTCTCAAAGATGGAAGTTTTGTTTACTTGGTTCTTCTCTGTAAACTGCTGGAAACTTGAGGTACACTCCATCTCTACTGTAACCATAATTGCCCTGACATCCACATTTTATACTGAAAATTTTCAACTGTGGGTCTATTGAAAACCCAAATGTTATGTGGAGTGAGAAGATAGCAGGTGATATTATAATTATGTGGAAACAATGACTTCTTTGATTAGTTCTAATACACCAAACAGCAAATATAACCAGTGTTACAGGTGGCATTGAGGTACAAGTTTCAGTTCCAGAAATTCACTTACTTATTGTATAAAAGAAAATCTGAAAATTTGAGATGATTAGAAAAAACATTCACTACTAAAGCATTGTAAATATCTGTCTCTCTCTCTCTCTCTATATATATATATATATAAGAAAAATGTTTAGGATGTTGTCTTTAGTGACCATAAAGTTTATGAAATTTTGAAAGACAAAAGCCAAGAAACTTTTGCTGTGAAAATTGTGTTCAAGTTGAGCATCTGATAATGTTTTAAGTCTTAAGCAATAAACATGTATACAGGGATGATGAGTTTGTAGTCAGATGATGTTTCCAAAAGTGAGAAACTAAGCTGAAATTAAATTTGAAAGACATCCCAGCTATGAGCCAGTACAGAAATGCTGAAGTGTAGTTGGCAGGAAAATTCTAACATTATTCCACCAGGGTGAGATTGAGCAATTTTAATACGTCTGTGAAAATCTCATCTGAGACTTCAAAATTGTATGGTTATGGCACTGGTTAAAGTAGTGAAACATTGGTAGTTTATGCAGAGGTAAAGTCCATTGAGTTGGTGTCAAGGATATTAGAAGAAATAGGAGAAACTGAATTTCAACCAAGACAACATAAATCATTTTTTCTGAGATAACTGATTTTCCACTGTTCTTAATTGAGACTCACCATGAAAGTTGGGGATTTTATTAAAAGCAGTTGAAGACCCTGTGAGGCACTGTGTTCTCTGCCTTTTTTTTTTCCAGTTGGTTAAAATGCCTAACTTTTAATGCTAAAAAAGATATTAAATTAGAATTAAGGATAGTAAATGAATGCTTACTTCAGAATCTTTGATCTTTTGGCCTTAGAGAAAGCGCACATAGAATTGTCATCATAGATGAATTTAATCTGTTAGAAAAGGGAAAATAAATTCGGGAGTGGTCAGAATTCCTTATGTTTTGCACACTTTTCAATTAACTTCTTTTTCCAAGCATCCAGCATCCAGAGAGGAATCAAAGAGCAGCAGTCTGTAGCATCGTGCAAGTTACAGGGCCAGCTGTGGTGCGGTGCGGGAGGTTATTCAGCTGTTGTGTTCCAGGTTTCAGTCTTTTTCCCACATTGTTTCAAGCTAATGCTGAGACCCTTCTGAATACAGATGTATTCTTTAAGGTTTATTGTGGCCTGTGTTTATCTAAAGATCCCTCTCCAGTGATGCTCCAGAAGTGCAACACGTAGAGGCAGCATACAAACTGTTGCACAGGGGGCCGTCCTCTTATTTTCAGGCTTGCCATTCCCTCATCTTCCCTCCATCTGTTTCGTGGTGGGGAGAGGAACAGAGCTTTGCTTTCTAACTCAAGGCATGGAGAGGGAAGAAAGAGCCTCAGAGGCCTCACAAATCTTTCTAAGGGCATGCTTCAGTGATAAGTCGCAGGCAGGCAGACGTGAGCTCGTTTTGCCAAGCCTTTGAGGAGGGCAGGCAGCAGCAAGGCTGTGGAACTGCAGTGGGAGGTTTTTAAATGAAGCCCTTCAGTTGTTAAGGGACAAGCTGAAGATTTTAGTTTCCATTCTATTAAAAAAAAAAAAAAAAGAACACACAGAAAAAAGAGAAAACCTTTAAATTAATTACGTATTAGTATTTATTTGTATATCATCTCATAGGTTACCAATTCAGTTACAGAGATATTTACGCACATACTTGTAATGTGATTTAATTGGGTGGTGTTTGGATTTAACACACGCAAACGAGGCTTGCAGAAGATAGACTTGCTGCTCCTACTGTGAGCAGGCAAACCAATTAAATGGTAACAGATGCTGAAATAGTCTCTTAAATGACACGCCTGCTTTTAAGCACTTCCTTTGGTATTATTAAGGTTTGCGAATTCCTTTAAAAATATTTAAAAGCATTGCTTGAAAACAACAGATCTCTTAAGGGTATTGAACACCGCAGCAGTTCTGCGTCAATGCCTTTGACATGAAATACTCACATGTGAAATAGCGTTTGTGTCGTTGCCCTGACTCGCTTAGCCTGGTTTGGGTTGTCCATAGAGCTGTGAAGATGCGTTTACCAACAATATCTCACACATCCTAAAACTTCACCCAATGCTGTTGCCGGTACAGAGCCGTTGAGTGTTTATAATCAGTGAACATTTTCTAATGAATCACAAATGTGGAAGGACATTGATACCCACAGACCCCTCAGATGCAAAGCAACCGGTTGTAGGGGTTTTGCAGAATATGGTCATGGTCCGAAGGATCTGCTACACGAAAGGAAGATGTGATGCTCAATACTATTTCTTGGAGGCTTTCACAGACGTCTTGCTCAGTCTTCAGATCTATGCTGTTCAATCTATTTCGTAGCCTCTTTAATATATGCAGCTCCAGTCTATATGTAATTGTTTAAAATTGCTTTGTGGACTATAATTTTCAGATTATGTTAATGATAGGCAACAAAAGAAGAGGTTCTTTTGAATTTCATTGTCAGACTGTCCCTCCTGTGGATTCTGAATCTGCTGGACAGCCCTGCTCGCAAGAGGTTTGGCTCTCGAAGATACTTAACATAAATAAGAGTGGCTTAACAGGAACATAGACAGAGCACCTCAGGCTTAACAAGCAGGGCTATTATTTCCCTAGGAAGTTTTCAGAAATGCGCTTGGGAAGTAGCCACTCAACGCAGCAACAATCATGAAAGGGAGTTTAGCTGAGTATTTGCATGTTAAGAAGATAGAGAGAGATAATTACACGTTAAGTTATTCCAGCGTACATGCATGTTGGCATTCTCTGTACCCAAAGCCTTCTAGCACAGATACATACGTTTGAATATATATTCAGTTTGCATTGCATGAATGTGTTTGAAGTGTCACGCATGCTTTGCTGCGTGCGTAGGTTTTTGAAGGACCTCACAGCCCAAAGAACAGGGAATGTGTTATGTGAAGGTATGTACTTCCAGGAATGCCTGCAAACTCGATTTAGGATACAATTTCATCTCTTTCAAGACCTCCGAAATTCTTGAACAGGCATGCAGACCCAGTGCATTTTGCTCGAAGCAGTGTAGGGTGTTGGATCCCAGTCCTCGAGCAATATAATGTATTCATGTTTGCAGAGTTAAATATCTGTCATTCAGCAACTCCAAAGCACATCTAAACAGGCCCTTTGAGTTCCTGCGCATTCCCTAACAAAGTGATGAAAATAGCTTCAATGTACATGATTGTTCAGCTTAAGTCATGATTTAAAAAAAAAAAAGAGGGGGGGGGGGAGAAAAAAAAAAAGAAAAGTCTATTGCTTGTATAGGCAAGAGCAGAAATGCCATTGTGTGACATGGTGGGTTTGAGGGCTCTTGGCTTGCAGAGCCTGGGCTTCCTGTTTGTGAAACATCTCTCTGTGCAGCCTTCCTATGGTATGAGCAGATCTGGGCAGAGAAAGCGACTTCTGTTTTCGGGAGGGATTCAAATATTTTTCAGTTTGGTTCTGTTTTGATTTCAGGTGATGATTAAACTGAGCGTGCATGTGGGCATTTATTGGTGCGAATGTAAAAAAGTACGTGCAAAGATGTGTGTGAATGCTAATGTATAATACAACAGAGTGAGGACAAAAAATTATTTAGCCTGTGTTTACAGAGAAGTTTGGAATATAAAGGGGGGAGGATTAGGAAACCACAGTGAATCATACTGCTTGCTAAGAGCTGTTGGGATGAGAATCTTGATGTAGATATTTGAATAAACTTTTCAGAGGTTTTTGTAACAATCATGTAGAAAACCTGATGCAGTTTCCTGGTATTTTTTTTAGTCCCTTATATTTTGAAGGGTATAACTTTGTATTGGAATTGATACAATACTCATCAAGCAGCCTACCTCTGATTGGAGTTTTCAAAAGCTCAAGGAATTGGATGAATTGGTATAATTTTCAAATGGGAATGGCTCATTTTTGATGCTTAAAGAACCTTTTATAGCAGAATATTTTAATCAAGGTCTCCAAGAATGCCTGATTATTAAACAATGTAGAATTTCAAATCTTCACTTCTTTTGGTGAAGTGCTTGCTTGGTGTTGTCCCATATTGTTTAATCATTTAAAGAAGTAAAACAGGGTTTAAGTTCTGTTTATTTGAATTTACAATGTAAAATTGTTTGATAGCTGCATGGCTGTCACCTGTATCGCTAAGTCACTTACTCTGTTGATCTGCTAACATAAAAAGTTTGGAGATTTCCAGAAGTCTGTACTGATCGGGGTTCAGTAGGAAAGATGCAGCCAGCAAGCTGGTAGGAGGTTTAGAAAACACTTTCATTATTTAATATCCTTAGCCAACAGCATGTGATTTACTTCCAGCAAGCAGCCTGCTCAAACAAAGCTCTAAATTATCAGCCTCTACAAGTTAATCTGGAAGGGTGTTGAGTACTTTGGCCCTGTCACTGCGAAGTGCTTGGGTGAGGATATGGCGAAGCACAAGGCAGAAGACCCCCTATGGTTGCTGCTACCCAGCTGATATATTTGGCCCCTAATGTGCTCATCCTTTGGTTTTATTCCATCCTTAGGCTTTCTCTCAGGGTTTTATTCAGTAAGGGAAATTGTTCATTCGTGCTGTGGTTGAGGGGAATAACGACACCCATGCTTAGCTTCAAGGATATAACTTACCAAAACCCAGCTCAAGTACATGCTTGAAGTTATGGTAAAATACCTTAATGAGTTGTGCCTTGCTCAATGGGATAATTCTTCTGCTGAAAATTAAGCATATGTTTAGTTACCTCTCTGTATATTAGACTTTAAATGATCTTTCAGTTCTTTTCAGCATGAGTGCCTAGAGTGAGAAAGCTAGTGCCAAGAGATTTCCCTTTTTGTTGTTCACAGAGGAGCAGAGAAGGTGAAGCTGCTTTCGTTCCCTCCGTGTTTCACTTGGGTAAAGTTTCTCCCTTCTCTTTCTCTTTCCATCTGTGTAGGAAGACACAGCACAGCTCTCTGGACCAGAGCTCCCCACCCCAAAGCGGCGTATCTGGCACCTACAATCACCCTGTCCTGGGCATGTACGATTCCAAAGATGACTTCCCACTCAGAAAAACAGGTAATGCTCACATTGATGTTCTGCGCTGCCTACTGTCTTTACTGTGACATGCTGCCCTTATTTTGAAAAAGGAAAAAAAAAAAAAAACACTTATGTAACCAAAAAGCTGTATTTCATGGAGTGATTTATTTAAGAAGCACTCACTCCACCCTGCTCTCCCTCTCCCCCTTTCAGCTGTCACTGAGTGAGCAGTGTTAGAGGGAGCCTGGGATCGCTTTGGGTGTGCAGGCTTGCAAAGCTGCATGCAGAAGACAGCTTCGCTGTGTGTCAAAGTTTGTGAGATGTTTTCACAAAGTCAGAACTAATACAGAGATCTGCGTGTCTGAAGTCGAAGTATGTTTTGCTGAGTGAGAAAAGTACCAAGAAAAGTTCATTTCTTCTGGGATTTGCATTTTATATACAAGTTTATATTTAAAATAAATAAAAATGTTTCTGCCAGTCAAAGCGTAGGGACTTCCTGCAAGGGTTTTGGTTCACACCTAGACAGTTATTTCTCAGTTAGGTTTTTCTCTGCATGGTGGCTAAGCAGGTCAGTTATTTCTCAGCTATATATTATGTAAACCAGCTTGTTTTGGTTGGCCGTGGTCCTCAGCTCCATATCACATGCCTAAGCCAACACAGCCTCAGCTTCTAAGCCTGCAAACTTGTGATCGTCAGCAGCTTCCTTCGGGGAACAGCTAAACTTCGAGGAGCTCACCCCAATCTGGGGAGCACTGCTGCTCACATGGATGGTACAGACAGTGCGGTGTGTTGGAAGCTGCTTCGGAATAGGAAAAATCTTTCATTGGAGGATGGAATAGGGTTAAGAGGAAAGCAGAGGTGTAATTCAACTTCACACGTTCTGCGTGTGCTGCCTAGGTGTTTCTCAGGTATGCTTTGTGGATCTTCAAACGTGCAGGGGTGAGCACTGGTAGTCAAAAAGTGTGTCATCCTTGTGGTAAAGAACGGTGATGAAATGTTAACCAAACCTCCCTATGGGTTTTCTGGTGCCTTTGCTCAAATTAGCTGCCCTAATCAGTTCCAAAGAACTGGCTGCACCCCTATTTCCTCACAGTTTCTTCTGGTAGTTAAAAGTAGAGCAGGTCTTTCACATAGAGGGAATGTTTCAACACAATTCTCATTATCTCTGTAAATTGTTGTGAAGGTGTTTTTTTTCCTTCCTCCATCTGACAAGAAAAAAAATAAACCTCTGCACTCCTGCCCTGTGCCTCCTGCCTCCCAGCTCTGTGCCTTAGAAGAGCTTTTGGTGAACTTCTCTTTCTGGACCATAGCTCCTGTCCTGCTGGATGGACCTGTGGATGAATTCCTGGCTGCCGTGCAGTAGATGGTCTTCCCTGTCACCAGGGTGAGCTGGGTGGAAGGTGCCAGACACTTCAGCTGCACAAGAATCAATTAAAAATTGACAAGCCCTTTGCAGGATGGAGGTTCTTCTGTTCTTCCTGTGCACACCCTGTGCCTTTGCTTGGGGCTGCTGTCAAGAAAGTGAGCCCTTTCTGGAGGACTCCAAAGGCAGAGTTTAGAAAACAGGATTTGCTGAAGGACAGGGCATCCTCTAATCTCTGCTTCTAGATAATGACAGACCGAATACCACGTTAGGTGCAGCAGACGCTGCTGCATCATCAGCGCCTGGGACAGCCGAAGAGACGCTGTCTGGGCTTCAGGATGTGGCCTTTCATAGGGAGGGTGAGTGCTGGTGGAGGACTGCCCTCAAAGGAGACTTCCTCCAGTTCTAAAGCCGTCAAAGCACAAAGATGTGCTTTGCATACATGCCTGCCTGGCAGGAGAAACTGCTGGGCTGCTAGCAGCCCCTGCTGCCTTTCACTTCTGCTCTGCTGAAGGCTTTCAGTCTCCTCTGGGAAATCACAACATTTCCACACAAGGAAGCATCCCTTGGCATCGTACCCGTTGCACAGGGCCTGTGGACAGCGTGATTCCAAGGCCTCTCTAGCTTCTCTTTCTATTCTTTTCGAAACCAGGCGCTTCATTTCTAGGGAATGCTGTGTTAGCACCCTCACAGCATAAAAGGTCTTTGATCAAAAAAACCTCCCTTTCTCATCAATGTAGGGGTCCTTCCTTGTCAGTTTTAGTTTGAGGATAGGTTGCCCTTCTCACTCCAAATGTTCTAACAGTGTGTTTCTGCAGGAAAAAGGAAAGAGTGTCTGCACATCATGCCCCTTTTCTGTTTCCCAGACTGAGTTCCGAATAAGACTCTGGCTGATAAAAGCCCTGTCAGACAGGGTGAATTAAGGATGATAAATCTATCTAATAGCATTATTAAAAATAATTGTTATTTTAAAACAGGAAGATACTTAGCTGATTTTGTTTTTCCAGAACACTGATGCTTCTTCTTTGTGGGCATTGGCATTAATCTTTTGGGGATTGGTATGCGATATGTACGCGTTCAGGTTGCAAGGTTCAGGGGAGATTTTTTTTTTTTCTTTTATTTTCCTTTCAATGCAACAGCACTTCAGTCTCTGGCACAAAGATATCCTGCAGAAATCCCATTGCCAAGAATGTTAAGTTGCTTGGAGAAGAAAGACTCCTGAACAGTCTGGTGTAAACAAAAGGCAGGGAAGGCTGGAGCCCATCCTAAATAAAGTTCTTTATTACGAGTGAGCTTTTCAGATTTTTGGCACCAGTCAAAACTCTGGCTTTGTGTTTGTAATTTTAAACCACCATATCGTGTAGTCCAATTTTATTAAATTAGATTAAATATTTGCAGTTCAAATAACAGAGTCCATCACAATACAGTTCTGATTACCAGGACTGGAATCCACCCAAGATCATTGTTAGGGACGGGGGGACTCGGGGCGCTGCGGGAAGGCAGTTCGAGCGATCATTTCTTCTAGGGTGCGTTTTCGGAGTTGGCAGCATGTCCTGCGTGTTGAGAAATTGTTCAGGAAGAATAAACATGTAATTGCACTGGGTTTTAAAAATACTACCTTCCTTTACTGTCTGATTGTTTAAAGCATCGTGACGTGGAACAGATTATACTTATCCCTCTGCGCACACTTGGCAGTAACTTGCCAGTCCAACGCTCAAGTGTGAATGTTGCGTAAGAGGCATGGTTAGCTGGCCACCCTCACTTGTGTAAAAGTAGATGTGTGCATGAATAATGCCTTAAGAGTGCTTGAAAACATTCAACATGTGAAGCAGTAAACACTTGCAACGTGTTCCTAATGCATCCTGCCCCCTGAAATCTTACCCTGTGGGATTTGTTTTACCAAATTATGTTCCAGTTTCTTGGCTGTTTGGTTTCTGCATGAAATTGTTGTACTGCGAGGCTGCTGACTGGTACAATTACTAATTGCTTGAATCCCGCTCTTAGTCTGGCTGTGGGATGCATTTTGCTTAGTTCCCTCTATCTAAACTCTTCGGGGCTTTCCCTTTTTTAACTGAACTGAGAACAGTTTGCTCCTTTTGCTTTAAATAACTTAATACAAAGATTTGTTACTTCCCAGCAGTAGTTTCCTTTACTATATGTATACAGACTTCCCCTAGTGCATGCATTTTCCCAATAGCTATCAAGTGGGGAAAATAAAAGCGACCTTTTCTGCTCCCAAGACAAGTTTGGTGTCTTGCACATTTAGTGAGGCTTCACTGTGCTGTGTACTGGGACCCTGCAGGAGAACCTCTGGAGTCTTTTGTAGCTGGCTTGATAACCTCAAGAGTTGTTTGTCAACAGTTTAGCTGAAGTTATTTTTAATACAGCTTTTCAGTTTTATTTTTCTAAGAATATGGTAGCCTTATTTTCTCCCCAGGAATAAGGTTTATTACGGTGTTTCCTGCTTTTTAGAGTTTGATCAATGGTTTTAGTAAAATATGCTCTCAATTAGAATGCTGAAATGACCAACATATTATCATGATTCATAGACGCCTGAAGAGGACTGTTTAACTGTTTAACATGCTTTTCCTCTTGATTGCAAAAGTTTTGTTGTTTGTTTGTTTCTAAACATCCTATGTGGGGCTGGACCATGTCCTGTCAGACACTAGCTTTCCTACTTGCTCCTGCAAAGAGAGAGAGTCAGGATTCCTGCCGTTCACTGGGACTTGACAGTTAATCAGAATTTCTAACGAAAGCCATGGCTTTTCAATTAGTTGTCATTGCAATCAGTAGTTTTGCCAAACTCAGCACCTGCTAGAATCGCCTGGCCAACACACATTGAGCTCACTGGGATGCATGAACTGGAAACATTTCCCTGTCTGTGTATCTCTCTTTAAACCTGACCCCAACGTGAGGAAAACAATCCATTTATTTGAACCACTCGTAAAAGATGCACTCTGAAGCTGTACGTGTAAATGTGGCTGCATGTGTAGGAATCATCCATACAGGCTGTAAAGCAGGCTCAGATCTCGATGTGTTTTTGCTCCTGCTGTTGGATAAAGCAAATGTTTCCCAAGACAGCCACCATCCTTCAGCCCTCCTCATACCCAGTTGGGAGAGATCTGTGCCTTTTCTGCTGCTTGGTTCTTTTGCCCTGAGCCAGCTGCTGGTCTTCAAACCTTTCTCCAGACAGACCTTTATCTGTCAAGGAAGTCAGGATTTTTGATGAAGCTGATGTTACCAGAAATGTGCTCTTTTTCATGTTGCCCTTTGTGCTTATCAATGCCCTGGTGCTTGCCAAGCCACCATGGTTCATTGGCCACAAGGAGACCTCCTGCGTCCACCAAGAGCGAGGGGCAGCTGTTTGTTTGGAGGATTTGGCTCAGTTCCCGGGGCTACTTGGCCTAGGGCTTCTGCAGTTACTGCCCCTGTTTTGTGAAGCATTTCAGGCTCTGCCTTCTCCTTCACCTCTAGTGTCACAGCCGGCTGCAGATCAGGACGTTGATGGGCATGAAGATTTTAAGGAGGCAAGGATTCCTGTGGTCCCAAATATGTTTTCACTGCAGAACCGTGGGATAGCATCTCAGGGTGTGAATTTCCACTATTTCCAAAGCTAGTCTGAATTTAATGCCAGACTGGGAGCTTACAAAGACATCTTTGGCAAGTATCTGTCCCT